CGGGTGATTTAAATGTTTTACGGAACGACAGTGCAAATTTCTGCATTCACTATATAGTTTAACCGATCTTTAACATGTTACGTACGTCTGTGTTGTCACACGCTTAAGTGCTGTCTAATGCTATGATAATTGTATTAAATAATTTGCCTAACAAAACCAATAACGTACCTTAGTTTTTTTTTGATTTCGTGCGAATTTATTTTTTTTGCCTTAATCTATTTGGTCGAAATACCAAAAAAATATGTTGGAAGAGGATGAAACCCTTTCCGCCTCCTTCTTCGAGCCCGGGAATTTTCAGGCACGCTCTGACATTCCTGAAACCTCGGATGTCAGACAAAGTCTTTCATTTATGACAGATTCATTAAATATGAACCTGAATATTGGCGGTAACCCGTGGGATCCTCCTTTGACAATGGGTGTCGACATCGCAAATATTCTATGTAAGCCTTATGGGTTCAATGCGAACTCATTATTGGTTGACTTTCACTGACCTTGCCAAATTATTCCTTTCCAGCTGACGTTCCTCTACCAGAAATATATTCAACAGCCTTCGCGCTAGCTTCACCAATTGTAGGAAGAGTTTCTGTCTCTGCTTTAAATAAGATTTTAAGCGTTAGCGGGCTCCCTCACGCGATGATAGAAAAAGTATTGTTCATTTGACTGTAACTTAAAATTTTATAATAAGGTCCTTACTAAAATCATGAAAGATTTTAAATTTGGCTGCACCTGCCAACAATGATAGCACTCGTGTTAACCGAGGGGAATTTAACGTCGCGCTTGCATTGGTGGCGTTAGCTCAGAAGAATATGGGTAGGGTTACGTTAATTTGGTGTTGAATTGAATATCTTGTAAAGAACAAATCTAAAATTAACGTCTCAACTCGATAATCTTGATTGATTAGATGTTTCAATCGAAACGTTAATCGAGCGAAAGCAAGGTATTTTATCCGAATCTTTCTCATACCATTATTCCTGAATTAACAACCCATCTTTGTCGTGTAGACCTCCCGGAACCAATCTTAACGAATCTGGAGAGCATCAATTTTAATCGAAATTTGAGTTTCTCCACGATTTCACGTCCTCCACCCATTACTGCCCTTCAGGCTGATGATCCGTGGGCCACACCTTCAACAAATGGTGAGCATACAAGTTCCTCATTTACAGCAGAACCTATATCTGAATTCTCTCCACCGACACGTGTGATTGCACCGCCTGTTACTCGCACCTTGCTTCGAGAAGAAGACTTCCAATGGTTTTTGGACATGGATGTGATCACAGTAAAGTTTGCACCTGAAAGAGAAGGATTTCTCTTTAAACACGTGAATTATATTGTGGAATCTCAAGTAAGAATATGGATGCGCAATTAACATCTGAGTTCGTTCCTTTTGCAGGGCTAATTTATTAATTCCATTTAACGGGTGGTTTTTGTTAATGAAGCGACTGGGGACGAGGGTGATCAGAAGATACAGCGATTTCTGGTGGCTGATGGAATGTCTTGTGAAAAAATACCCATACCGAATTTTACCTGCTCTTCCACCAAAAAAGATTGGAGGTATGGATTATCTTCCAACATTTTGATCGATCATCCACATAGATCAGTCGAGTAACGCCATGATCTTCTTATCTAGTAAACGGTTTCTATTTCACAGTCGACGAATCTTTTCTGGAGAAACGGAGGAAGGGGTTAACCCGGTTTTTAAATTTCATTTCAAGACATCCCGTTCTAAAGGATGATGAGCTGGTGGAGATGTTTCTCAAAGAATCGACGGTAAAATATTTTAAAATGAAAATGTAACATCTTTATTTCTGGAATATCGAATATCGATTAAATCTTGGAATATGCAGGAGATAGCGGTTTGGCGTAAAAACAACACACCAGATTTGGACGAGGAATATCTGAAGAAAGAAGTTACTCCGGAAATGGAACAACTAATACCAGACAACTTGGACGAAAGATTAGATAAAGTATTGAAGAGGTTGGATGACAGTATTGAACATTATAGAAATATGTGCAATCTAATGGAGCGCATCGCTCGTCGTCATGAAGGTCTGTTCGTTTTGATGCATCGTCTATAACGTGTTTGATATTTATTCCACGCTTAACTCCTATTGTATTAAAGGCACGTCTGCTGATTACATGAGATACAGCCTAGCATTGAAGTGGGTTCAAAAGTTTAATTGATTGTTGTCTCATGGTGATACATTAAGTTCTGAAATTATTATAAAAATATAATTGCAGTTCATTGATCGAGAAAGAAAAGGGTTGTTACCTTGATAATTGCTACAACTGCAGTCAAGTGATTAACGGTCTGGAACAAGTGTCAAGTCATGTTCAAAAGACAAGTGCCATCATGGAAGATATGGTATGTTGTTTTTATCAAGGATGTTATCTTGATGAGTACAGTATTATTTTAAACACGATCATTATTATTTTGAAACATCAAGTCTACGACTATGATTGAAACGGTGGTGGAAAATTTGAAGGGACACCGTGATCTGCTAGTATCATTCAGAGTATGTATTTATTTATTTATTTATTTTCTTCGTTTGATTGAATTCATTAATGAACGCGACTTTTTACTGATTATTTCAGGAAACATTCGAGAGAAGGGACAGACTGGCTGTAGATTCGACTGAAACTCTGAATAGTAGAATAGCTGCTAATGAAGCAAAACTCACACCATTAAAGGGAAAGGAAGGAACGGATCCAGAGGTGGAAAGGCTGTCCACAGCAATCAAAAAGGTAATGAATAAATCCCAAAGAAGCTTATATTATAGTATTTACTCAGGTTACATTTAATTTATCGAACTTAGGATCAGGAAGACGTTCAGTATCAAAAACAACGAAAAACCTTTGTGCGTTATTGTCTGTATGCGGAGTTGAGCTTGTTTCACAAAAGTACCGCTTTAGTTTCTCTCCTATATCAGAACTTTGTGAACGAACAGATTAAATATTCACAACAACTCTGCGAGAATTGGAAACAGTTGAGTCCAAAGGTTTATGAGATGCCCGTTGAGACAAACGGATTTGGTTAAAGTCAAATTTACTTGAATTTTATCCGTTTTTTTGATGTGACATTAGCAGAAAAAAAAAAAAAAAAAAAAAAAAAATCGTGTGGGACATGTATGATAGAGACATTTACGATGTATATTTTTACTGAACCCTTTTACCAACAAACATTGATTTTTCCAGCATTCACAACTTTACGGTGTTTAACACTTACAGATTATTTATCTCTAAAATTGTCATCATAAGCAACTTTTTCGCGCGCGAAATTCATTCTCGCTAAATGTTGATAATATTTAGTAGTGACAAAAGAGGTCATACCACAGTCGATCATATCCAATTCTTAATTCTTCCACTCCATATCACTACAATCGCCTTCATCGGGTTCTGTCGCAAACAGGAATAAATAAAAGTTTAAAGTCAACCCGATAAAGATCTCAGATCGTGATTATATACGTTTTTATCAAACTTATTTAACTGTGATCTGTTGATTTCAAAAGAAAAAGTTGCAATTTTACATAATTATTCTATTATTTACCTTAATTATTATTTAATGTTGTTTGGAAATAAAGCGCAAACATGATATTTCTAATTCAAATTAATCAATAGGTTAAAGCATGCATAGTATATTGAACAAATTAATTAGTTATGCTAGTTATAAATTTTAAAAAGCAAATTATTACTTTTTATCTTAATCTAAAAATAATTTTTAATTAATTTAAACAGTAAAATTATTTAAATTTTTCAAAAAATTTTAGATATTTGAATTCAAAGTTGTTAATAATATATTATTGAATAATTTACATTATATATTGTAACTTTTATGTTTAATATAATATACGTAATTGTTTTATTGATAGAAGAAGTAACATATAATTTATTTGAAATTTAGTCAAAAAAACCGTAACTATAGTAAAAAAATAAATGAAAATAATGAAAAGAAGTCCATATAAAATATCAATACAATCAATTATAACAAAATTTATTATGTTAAATATACTTGAAAAAATAAACAAATTTTGTTTTTTAACAAATTAATGAATATCATTTAAAAAAAATTTTTTTCCATAATTAAACAAGTGTTTATTATATTTATTAATCTTTAAAATTGAAAATATAATACTGTAATATAAGTATTTTCATATATACTTTATTTTACTACTTGAATACTTGTTATTGATATTTGATTTTTTAGACATAATTTTAAAGATAAATAAAGTTGCTTGCTCTTCTCTTTTAAATTTTTTTTAAAAAAATATACCTATATTAATTTGAATTAATTAATTAATTAATTAAAAATATAATAGCTTAAAAAAATGAATTATAATAATGAATTGTAAATAATAAACTCACATAATCAAAAAAAATTATTTCTCAAGTTTTCATATATCAAATAATACATGAGACTTGAGAAATAGATCTTGACGAATTAATAATAATTCTTTTATACACTATATCTTTTTTTATATACAGTATTTGAAATAATAATATAAAATTGGGTTTTAATTTAGAATAACAAGTTATATGTAAAATTAGGTTTACATTATATACAATTTGAACGAGATAAGTATTTTCTTTATTAAAAACTTCAAGTCACCATTATATACTCTGTCTTTTCTGCTTTTTAGTGCTAACATTTTTACATGGAAACTTTGAGAATGATTTAGAAATAGAACAAAAGGTAAAGGAGATTCTACTTATTTCTAGCGCTATTACATAATCTAACACTAATTACATTATGATTATTTTGTTGTTAGCGCCGGTTCAGTTCTATTTCTCTACTCGCGATTCCGGACCGATAGTCGACCACGTGACCCGAATCACATAAGTATCTCTAGTAAATATTGATATCGTGAAAGAACACAAAATGCGTTTCTTTATTTACATTATAAGGTTCTGTAAATCTGTGACACTAGTATAAGTTTAATTTTTGATCAGATCACAAATTATTTTACTATTATCAGCGAGAATCAATTTTTTTTTTAAATAGAACTATGAGTGGTAATAGCTCGGCAAATGAAAATCAGATAGCCTCTGTCTTTTCACAGGTTCAATCCTCAGTTACAGATTTAAGCAGTCACGAGTTTAGTAAAGTAGAAGCGACTCTCGAAGCGTTGCTTTCTCAGCCATTGAGTGAGGTAGCTGCGGGACTTGGGCCGATAGAGCGTGCAAGACTGTACACGTTATATGCGTATTGTTGTAATTCGCTTTCTTCCCGTAAGTTAGTCGCATAAGTTATTATTTAAAGGGCTACTAAGGCAACTATTGTTCATTGATACTATTAATCTATAGTATATTTAGAGGTTAATGGTGAATCTGAACCAAAAGAAGTCGATTTTCAGGCGGTTCGCATTTTAGAACAAAGAAATTGCTTCGTGTTGATGATACTTATGGAAAAATTTAATTGTAATTTTGGAAATTTTAATAATCAAGAACCGAATACAAGAAATTTCGGATAAAATTACACATACACTGAATCCTCCACAACCCACGCTAGCGATTGACCGGCAAGCAGCTGCACGCTTCATTAAGCACAATCTGCCAATCACAAAAGAACGTTCTTCAAGGGAGGATAACCAAAGTATATAAATCAATCATTATTGATTTAAAAAATTTTTAGTGTTCTTTGGTAACATATAATTCATTTCTTTCATTTTAAAATAGCATCTAGTCCAGTGCATATTCGTTTTGATGACAATGGGAATAGAAGAATAGTTAGTTCTCAGGTGCAGCATTCGCCGCGTAATGAAAGAGGCTCACGCGGTGGAAGCTCTTCGCATGCATCGCGATATGATAGAAACGAATCATATGATTATCATGACCGGGACCATGATCGAGATTACGATCGTGGAGAAGAACGTAAAACCTTTTACCGATATCTCACTTCCCCAAAGTGTTATCTATAAATATAATGCATTGAAGGAAGGGTAATCGTATGCCGTTGTACTTCTACTGATAATAATAATCCAAGTTTATTTTTTCCTGTTTCTAGGTCCGCGCAAATTTAAAAAAAAACATGATGACTCGGAAATAAAAAGAAGACACAGGTGAAATATAATTAATAACATTGTTTTCTCTAATTTAATGATACGAGGCTTTGTCAAACCGTTATGATTTTTATTTCTGAAATTGGGAATATTTATTGTTAAGGATACACATTTTAAAAAAATATTGATGTGATTTTATATATAAAAAAAAATGCACTAGAATTTAAAAAGTGTTGTACAAGTATTTCTAAATAACAATATATAAATAATGAATCATCTATTATAAATATTTTAATAATGACCCTGTACTCATCATCGATGAAGTAATGACAATTAGCCGGGATAAATAAATTATTACAATTTACCACTATTGGGAAAAAAAGAATAAGAATTTTTCGAATCATATAAATAAGATGATTTTTAATGGAAGCTCACCTTATGGTTTTGATGTAGATTGTTATAACCTGGAGTATTATTAAATCCTTGCTGATTGGGAGGTTGTTGACCGTTTAAACCAAAATTAACATTGGGATTTGCAAGGGGGGGGTAGCTAAGGTTTTGTTGGGGAACACCCATACCAGAAAAACCACTTGTGGCGGTTTGATTCCATGTTGGTGTATTTAATCCAACAGGATTTTGACCAAGATTGTATCCATCTAGACGAAGAATAATCTCAAAAGTTAGAAAGTTAAGTTAGTGTTGTAATTGATATTATTTGAACACGTACTCAGTTGATTGGGTGTTGGTCCGTTGAAAACACTTGGACTTTGGAGATCCACCTGTTTAAATGCCGAATACTTGTCATCTGTAGCTATTAACGAAACAATAAAATGTGAATATATAATAAACGAGATTTTTTTCGATAATATAAACGCACGTGCCCTTTAAATAAAATTACCATTCGGAATCATGTTTGGACCAATTTGTCCAGTTTTCATCGCGGCAAAAACAACTTTAGGGTCACATGCTGATGACTGAGCGGTAGTGGGTGGTGGTGGTGGAGCATTAAACGATGTTTGTTGGATTTGGTTTTCAGTGTTAAAATTTGCGTTGAATTGATTAGTTACACCAGATGTGATGTACCCTGAACGTGTATCGACTGGTAATGGCGTATGTACAATCCCTGATTTTAAGAAAAAGAACTAATTGTTAATATCACCAATTGTAGACCCGTGAATTACCTAAAGAGGACAATATAAGCATACAATAGTACCAGAATTATTCCAGTTGTTACCCGGAGGATAACTATTAACAGGTAAATTGCCCATTAAATCTTGATTATTATTTCTAAGGTTGTTGATATTGGTGATTGGTGGTGTGCTAAATTGTGACGAAATTTCATTCTTCATCGGAATAAGTGGTTGATGAAGAATATTATTAAGTGGAACAACAGTAGCTGCCAACGGAGCCGGTGGAAATGATGGAGTTTGTGTATTAATTGATGGTTGTAAAGTCATTTGTGAAGATTGAAACGTCATTAAAGTCATTTGCGAATGCTGAGCAGGAGGAAGAGTAGGATTCGAATTCCAGGGGTTGGAATTAAAATCTGATATACTTGTATTTGTCACTGGTTGTTGTGGTTGTTGGGATAATAAGGGTGACACTGGACGTTGACGAGGTTGTGGTAGAACTGGTGGGTTAGAGTTTATGATTTGTGAGTTTTGAAGGACTGTGGGGTTAGGGAGTGGCGGTGGTGGTGGTGGTGATGTAGATACAGGTTTAACAGTGGGTTTGGGCAACAGCACAGGAGTTTTATCAGAGGAGACCCATGCATCATCTTCAAATTTGTCTGCCGGTGAAGTCGAAGATTTAAACGCAGCATCGAGTTTATCCTTTGGTACGGTCAGAACACTTGAGTCAATTTGAATTGGTGCTGCCTTGGAAGGTGATGGGCGTGCCTTTTTCGTATTATTTTTTAGAGCGCCATTACTTTC